TTTAGCTGTCGGGATTTTTTTGTCGGGATTATGACCTGTCGGGATTCTGTTTGTCGGGATTTTGACCCAAACCCTAATATTAATTTGATTCAGGTTGTGCTAATATGTTTTCACTAATAGTTATAATACTACCTGAAGAAATTTCTTTATTTTTATTTTACGAATTCAATCGCAATAAATTAAAAATTTAATTTTACTTTTCACCACTCGATATATCGATATAGTTGGGTTATTCTATCCCATTTTGAAAACCTGAAAACCGATAAAATTGGTTGTCGAAATATACTAGAAGCGTAAAATTTCTTTAAAAATTTATCGTTATTGGTCATTAACTATAAAAATTTATTAGTTACTATTTGTAACTAATAAATTTGTATAATAAATAACCAACAAAATTCTAGAGATTTTACTTTCCAACGTTACTTGCTTCTGGTACATTTTAATCGGATTTAATCAGCGATTTATCATAACGATAAGATCAGTTATTACTATAATGATCGACAACCAATCAGATGGATGGATTTTTAACTATGCTATATCAGTTCACTTTCACATGAATTGTAAAATCATAAACTGGAGACTCTTTGCGATTGAGCAGGAAATGACTTCTACATTGCTAATCTCGCGAGACTATTTTCATGTAAAAGAAAGCTGACTTTTAGGTTACAGTATTAAATTATAAGCACTGGTTTTCTCTTTGAGCACATAGCTCAAATGTTTTACTAACGAATATTCGAGAAATGAATTATAGAATTTCAATATACTTTAAAATTAAACCCCAAGATTCTGTTACAAATGAAATTCATTCGTTACGTAAAGAATTAAGATTTATAGGAATAATCTTAATTCTTTTAATAACGTTAATTTTTTTATTGCTGGGATATTCAATTGGGTAATTATTTATAATTATCTTAAAATTTTATGATTAATATTAATGCAAAATTCTATTAATTTTATCACATTATAGGTCAGATATTTCTTCGATATACAATTTCGTACTCGAATTCATTTTGCAGAACCTTATAGTTTTTGGTAAATAATGATGGTTGTGGTGGATATCAATTGAAAAAAAATTTATTTTATTTTAATTTTTAATGATGAATTGGTTTTTCAACCTTTGAAATTTCAATAACTATTGTTCGTTTGTAATTGATTTTTTTAAATAAAGTGCATATACGTTGATTCAAATGTTCTTATCCTATTTTTCACATCGAGAGGTGAATAAAAAAAAGATGATTTAATCTATATTGTAAAACTTTATAAGTTCACATATATTGTCATGTTATTAACCAAAATAAAAAGGTTTAAATTAAGAAAATTAACGTTAATTATGTTAAAGATTACTGTGTAGTTATCATTATTTTAAATATTTACGGTATTCATTTCTTTTAAAATCTAACTATTAGATGTGTTTAATACCTGCTACTTTTATAATTAAAAATATTTATTTATGAGTTTAAAAGCTTCATCTTTATCTTTTCTGACATTATGCCCAAATAAGTAGCAAGATGCCATTAAACATGTCGCCAGAAATTTGATTTCACTATCTTGACTAAAAGTAAGTATTGAAAAAATCTCAAATGTTTCTTTATATTCTTTTTTACTGTAAAATTCAAATGCAATTTTAAAACCAAGAACATCATCTCTTCTGACATGTCCCAGTATATAGTAATCTGCAATATTACTCAAAGCCTTCAATTTTACCTCATCGTCTTTAGCTCGTTCTGAATAAATCCTCCAAGCATCTTCATATCTTTTTTTATCATGAAGATATTTTGCTATGGATAAGGGATCAGTTTTTTCATTTTGTTCAACACCGAACTCATGTATATTACAAAGTGCAAGATAAAGCATGGCCTGACCAAAGATTTTAACTTTGGATTCTTCATTAGAGTTTGCATAGGTAGAGTTAGTAAGTTCTTTAAAAGTTAAATAGGAACTCCTGGCATTTGCTTTGTCTTTTTTATTGTAACGTTCAATAGCAGATCTAAGATTAAACTCATTCAAACTGATCCCACTCATCTTTATTTGGTGAAATTTTATAAGTTTACTGACTGAAAATAAGAAATTGTTAGTATTTATATTTTTGGAAACTGTGAAAAAAAGAAATCAATCCATTAACAAATTGAGAAAGAATGGTAAAAAAAGTAAAGAAAAAAAAATGTTATACGACAATTGAATTTGTGAATCAATTGTAAAAATACCATACAATAATATAATAATATTTTTTTTTAACCATCAAAGTTACGAAGCATTGCAATTGAAAATGATGAAAGTAATTGAACTAATTAAGTGAATATAATTAAGAATCTTTTCAAGAATATTTTTATATATCTTATTTGTTATTTTTTCTATTATTACGTTTGTTAATGGTCTTGGAACTATATGGAGAAAAGCATTAGTAAATTCCTTGCGCGTGAACATAAGCTTAACCTCATTTTGATTAAATGAATTAACATAATAGTAATGTTAACATTACGGTTAAGGTGCCTCAAAATAATGCGGGCGTTATTTCACGATAATATGATATAAAATAAATAATAATGCAATTCATTTCCGTAAGAAATGTAAGTTGTATTCAGACTTTCATTTCTAACAAGCAAATTTTTTATAAGTAAATTTTTTGAAATTTGAAACAACAAAAACTTAATTAAATTGAATTATTGTTGTTTAAAGTTTAAAAAATTTTTTTAATAAAATCAATTTGCTTGATTTCTAATGATTCAAATTCTAAATAAAATTTTTAATTTCTGCTCAATTATATAACAAAAATAATTTCAATAACTTGCAATTTATCTAGATGTAGATATAAGAAATTTATTTTACGCTACTATTCTGAAAAAATGTCTACAAAAAAGAAAAATGATAGTGAACTGTTTAATTTTGCAAAAGAAGTCTTCTTAAAAAATGATTATGAAACATCTTACAATTCTTTTAAGTCAGTTGCAAATGGATATAATATTGAATTAGCAAATAATGCGAAATATTTTATGGCAATTCATCTGATAAATGGGTTAGGAGTTAAACAAAATTCAAATGAAGCTTGTAGACTCTTTAAAGAAGTTTTTACAAGTAATTCAAAATACAACGAAGCTGCTGGACTGGAGATAGTATTCTGAAATTGGATAGAATCCGGGGCCCAATCTGGGTTCAATCCTGCAATTTTGGGGTCTGATTTAAAACAACAAAAAACAAAATAGGACCCTAATTGTTTAATCCAGGTTCGGAACAATAGCGCTAGCTGGAGAATAAAAAAAAAGGATGAACGAATACGATAATTAATGTATTCAATTTGTTTTTAGAAAACACCGATAATAGACTAGGCGGCATAATTTAAAAACACAAATTTAAGAGAAAAAAATAACAAAAACTATTTTATATAATTTTTTTTTCAGATTAGCTTTTGTTAATGTTGTATAAGTATTATTTGCAATTAGTAAGCAATTGTAGTTTGAGCAAACCCATTCTTTTTGATTCCCGAGGTCCATTTTTTTTGATTCATCAGATGATCGACAAAAAAGGACCCATTTTTCATAAGGTTAGTTACATGACATTCATTAACACATGTTACATACATTACATGAATTTGTGAATTCGATTGATATAAACTAACCAATCAAATCATTAGATCGAACATATGGTATAAAAGAAGCAAAATCATGATTAGTAAGAGACCCGTTCTTTTTTCTCCAATCAAAATAGAAAAAAAAAACACTTACCTTGTAAAGCGTAATTAGGAAACAGCCTGCTGAGTAGAGATAAAAGGTGTTGTCATGTTAAGTAGAAACTAAGAAGGAGTTGAGGG